TAAAGTGTATAATAGTAAACTTGAACTGAAAAAAACACATACAATAGACACTTGTAGTAATTATCTAGACTTGAGAATTTATGTAAATAATGAGAATATATACAGAACTTTATAATAAAACTGATGACTTTGATTTCAAGGTTATACGCTTTCCACATAGGGATACTAATATTTCAAATAATACTAAAGGAGCTGTCATATATACAGAAACATTAAGGATATCTCATACTTGTAGTATTTTTGAGGTTTTTGTATCAAAAATAAGTGAAATGGTACAAGTTCTAAAAAATAATGGTTATGAGGACAGCTTCATTGCTTCTAATATTATCAAATGTATATATAAAAACAAGTTCATTAGCTATAAATATGGGATGCAAAGTAGTTTCAAAAAGATTTCTAAGTTTGTAGTTAGTATCACTCGTTAGTTTATCCAGGTTAATCCTTATATTTACCTTCCATAAATATAGTAAGTGTGCTCTAATGCAATTTTCAAACTAGCTGAGTATCAACGATACGCAGCACTATATTTTGAAAAAAGTAGTGGACCTAAAATGTTCTCACCTACATGTCTTATCCATTTATGTTAATACACTAATGTATTATAGCTTACATTTCATAAGATTTCTAGTTAACGTCTGTATATATTCTCCGTTAATTTTTCAACACCTTTTATCATCCCCTTGATTCCGTCAACCCTCTACTCACTGATGAGCCTCAAGAGGGTTGATGGAATACAATGGTTCGTCTGAGTAGGAGGCGAAACGAACCATTTCTTTATCTCATTGCATTATCCTTGAAGTCTTTTCCCTTTTTCAATTTGGACTTGACTGGTGTTCACTGCTTCATGAGGGAAACCCAGTGGCAGTGATACATCAGTTCCGTCTAACGGGTATATGGATATTTTTTCATCACTTAATTTGAGGCGACTGCCTCATGGTCACCGGTGGTGATTTTGTTTGGGACCGGTGGTCCTTTGTTACGTCGACTGACGTTTTAACTTCTTTTCAGTTTTTTCTTTCCCCTCACACAATAACTTCTTTAGCTGGTTCCTAACATTTGTCATATTAAAGGTACACTTTCTCTCATTTTTATTTTTTCAGTAACTTTCCAAAATTATTTAACAATTCAACAAACAAAACAATTAAACATTTAAAACAATTAAAACTTCTCCTAGTTTTTCCTCAACAACTCACAACTAATTGTCTGCAGCTTCAACTGTCTCTATTTGCTCCTCCTCTTCCAAATTCTCGTCAACTCTGGCTAACTTGCTAGTTGATGCACCATCACTTGGAGCTTCTCTTTTTCTCGTATTTTGACGTTCCTAAAAACAAGTTATTAAATTCCTCTTATATGATCAATAATCTACACTGATCTATTACCTTTAGATTTTTCTCATTCTCATCTGGCTGTCCCATTTTCTCCACGCATAAAATAGATTCCAGTGATTCACTACCCCATACTAATTTTCCGTCCTCAAATTAGAATATTAGTAGGCTGTTAATATACTTACATAATTATCCTCTTACCTCATAAGCGCTTTTTTCCGCGTCACTCATTAAATATAGAATTGGTGTCCCGTTCCAATCGGGATAGGACCAACCCAATTTCGTCGCTAGGACAGTAGATCTCATTTTCTATAAATTAATAGCTAAGTTGTTATTTACTTACTAAGTATTCATGTTTAATCAGTATAACACACAATATAATTTACACTTTATTACGGTTGCGTCCTAATTTATAAAAAAAAATTTTCACTCACAATGTTTTCTCCGTTATAAGCCCTTATGGTTAAATAGGCGTTCTTAACAGTCATTTCCGGTATAGGTAAACATTCTGTTTCTAAGTATTTCCTGATCTTCAAACGCATATACAGACTAAAACAATGTATTGTATTGGTAGCAAATTTGATTTATTTAAATTGATTAAATACCTAAGATTTTCCGCGTCCCCAGCCTTCACGGTGTGGCCTCGCACTACCTTTATAAATGTACGTTTGGACTTGTTGTATTCGATAAGGTGCTTTCGACCCTTCTCAAGGAAGTGTTGCCAAAACGCGTAGGACATCTCGGCCTATATTTCATTAATTGGTGACATTACAGTACAAATAATTTACATATTTAAACATCTAATTTTTTTACACATACCTTAAAATGTATAGAATCATTTTTACTCCCTATTACTTTGTACCAGCACAGTGCACTTGGATCTTTTTCTAGGTTATAACTGCAACTTATATACTGAATCTACTATAATTGTGATTTTCTATTAATATCTACTTATTGTAGATTAAAAACTACTCACCGCATCACTTCTTTGAGGAAAACTTCAACCACTTCTTTTATAGGTAATTTCTCCGGATTAGGGAAGAATAATACACGTAGAATCTTCGACATGACAGTCCGATTTATTTGCTCTTGCTGGTCTGCTTTTCTTTTATTCTGGTCCACGTTCGAGGCATTGAAACCTATTATCTATAATTGTTGCAGTTATATAACAATATAGTTCACAAAATTTTTGATAAATAATTACCCACTTTTTCCGATGGAGTGGCTTGTTGAACCATTTCACTTTAATACACCTGCTCGCACGGTATAAATAAGTTCCTATAACAGTTACATTTATAGTCTTTTAAGTGCCATTACAGCATATTTACTCGTGTGACATATTAACGCATTATTCACATATTGACACATGCTTGCTGGTACAATTACGGATTATGAACTCGAGAAATCAATAGAGCAATAAAAAGGGTCATGAAGCAATAGCTCACTTATTTGTTATTAACTCAAAAAGTATACATATGACACTCAATAACTACAAAACTCAAACAGAGCAGTTGATTGAACAGTGGGATATAAGGTATTCTATTCAATTTAATAATTTTCATTTAATACTCTACTTTGGTGCAATTGCACTAGAATAATGCAGACACATCACATTTCACGGTACGATTTGGCTAGACGCACACTTTTCTAATTTTCTAATTCGTAATCCTTCTGATAGTGTTTCTACACGCTCTAAGGGATTCAATAGTTGCTAGTGATAGTTTCTATGCCATTATGTTCATTTGTAACAATACAATGTTAATTCAGTCATATTCATTGTAAAGCATTCTTGCTGTTCATTGTTGTAGATTAGATACAACTCTGTGCGCTCACACTACAATTTCATATAGACACACCATAATTTACGGCTAGTTCTAGTGCTCTTTCTATTGCTCTCTCTATTTACCCATTTTGTTGCAATCAGTTTATATTCTAAGCATGTTACTAACCACATATCATTTAGCTTTTTATTATACCTAATAGTTAATTTTTACAGGAAATGTTATACTAAGAAGTAGAATATTGTTTGCTGAAATTGCGTATATATATATAGCATGAGCTAATGCGTGTTGTACTGATTATTGCGAACGGCTAGTGTAGTATGGAAAAGCAGGTACGTTGCCTTTCTTAATACTATCGATATTATCTTTTTAGGTTACTTTCTGGAAAAGTAATCCGTTTGTAGTTTGCGTTTTATTAGTGTAGCACATATAACAAAGTAGGGTAGTGGACGAGTAGTGTAACATAGATGTGAGCATAAGATGTGAGCATAAAGTTTTAGTAATTTTTAGGACTAACATTTTCTTTTATACCTTCTTTTTCCGTGCAGGACACACACTTTCGATTATTTACGACCTCGTTATTTGATCTGCTTCAACTTAATTAATCATCTTATTTACCTTAATTAATTAGGTTTTAATAGTTCGGTGGGGGTGGTTCATTCGGGCCTTTCAAGGTTGAACTTTTTATATGGGGGTTCGGTCTTGACGGGCTAGGGGAATCATCTCTACTGAACTAATCAGTATAACATTGCAAGAAGGTCGAACATGGACTAGGTTTTAATATTTTATTACTAACTAGAAATTATACTTGCACAGTTCTTTTTAATAGAATAACTTTTTATACCTTTTATATAATATAGTTTCCGCATTGGATGATATAGTAGACATAAAATTTTGATATGTACGTAAAT